TCAAAAGTATCGAGCAATATGTCCAACGGTATGCTACCCGAACATACTTGAGTTTCCGGCGTGCTGTTAAAGCGGAGTTGTTTTTGATGTTTGGTCCAGGTGTCTTGGCCAACCGACACGTCGTACATTACACTACCGCGTTTGCGCAGGATACGACCTGCAATCCATGAATCATGTCCTGGGCGATAGTCACGGACAAGCACGGGCGTTCCCACCTTGAATGGGGTTCCAACTGCTACCGGTATGGACCTTGACTCAGTAGGTTGTGTTGGCAACATGGAAGAATGCACAGTTCTAAGTTTACGTCCCATGAGTGCCTCTGCAGGTGACTGGTGGTTTGCCAAAGCGTCATTCGGGGTCGTTCGGTACACAAACAGGAATCTCTGAAGGGCTTCGACGGATGTCTCCTCCCCTCGAGCTTTAAGCAAAGCCCTCTTGAATGTGTCGACGAACCTTTCTGCTTGACCGTTCGATTGTGGGTGGTACGGTGGTGAACGAACGTGTGTTATCGTATGTCGAGTGCAGAAGTCGCGGAACTCAGCAGAGGTGAACTGCGAACCATTGTCTGAGACTATGGACTCCGGTAATCCATGCTGACTGAAAATGTTGGATAACACTCTCAGCGTACTAGATGTTGTTGGAGATGACACCGGAACGATTTCTGGCCACTTGGAAAAAGCGTCAATCAAAACCAAATAAAAAGTGCCATTTATCGGTCCTGCGTAATCAATGTGGATCCGAGTTTGAACCGTTCGCATTCTCGGTTCACGATGCCAGAATATGTGAGGAAGTCGTCTGCATCACTCTTCACTAGCTTCATGCATCGATAACGGATGTTGAAAAGTGACGTTTGCTCACCGAATATTTGTGAAAGCGTGTTGACCGTTTCATCAAAAGTGAAATCGCGCGGGTTCTTTGGCAGAATATAGTTAGCGTACTTATCATGCTCTACAGGTCCAAGTTTGCGGAGCAGGAGGGGAACCTTCCAACTATCATCTTGAAGTGAAAAGTCGACCCTGAACAGGTCTTCATAGCGACGAAACCAAGCATCAAACGTTATGCCAGCTGAGGGTTCGTTGATACTGCCAGCGATTCCATCAACCGACTGTGGGACGCTCGACGCAGCCGGTGAAGCCAATGATGTAGTTGATAGTCGCTCCGTAAGTACTTTGATGAGTTGCAGTTGTTGCTCAAACATTACTTTGAGTTGTTCTGCCTCCATCTTGCGTCGCCAAACCTAGATCATTCACAACCTCGCGATAAGCGCTTGAGCTGTACGATTCCTTCTGATGGCCAACAATGACTGTCTTCTCGATCTGAAAGCTGTTTTTGACTCTTCTGGTTGTCAAAAACTATGACTATCTGGCTGTGATGGATGTCACTTCTAAGCTCTTGTCTCCATGTTATTCCTCGTGTGAATATGGACGTGTCTACAGAAAACCCTCTTGATTTCACATTCAGTTATGTTATGCAGAGGTTCCCTCTACCTCCTTTTCTCTTTAACTTCGTAACCCATATGGCGCTTAAGTCTTTACTGCTAACAGCTCGGGGATCAAAGTATTTCCGGAGTATCGCTCTTGGATCAGACCGTCTAGAAATACAATCTACCCCAAATAATCCTGCTGCATGGTTCAGCATCCTGTTCATGCCTGCGAGAGTGGACAGGTTTAAACGCAAGCCTCGTGCCTATAGACTGGCCGATCGATGTGGCAGATAGGTTTGCTCATCCGGGCAGCTGCCTGGAGTCGGGAAAGCCAGGTCACCATTAACCAGCCTGCAACATATGGGGCACCGACCGACTCCGGGTGGAGTATATACCTATGCTGTTCGACCTACCCCCTGTGGATCAGAGGCACGGCCTCTATGCAGATCCTCGGTGGCTCTGCCCGAACGTTAGTGCCTTCAAGGCATTGAGCCGATGTAGTGGGGACACTGAGTTGCAACAACAGGAAAAGTAACTCTCGGTAGGCCGACTGGTACTGTACTTCGTATGGCAGAGATGGCCCAAGTGGTTAGAGCGCGAATTTACTGACCGGTAGGTCCGTGATTCGAACCCGAACACTGCCTCTCGACTTCCCCTGTCTAGGCTTGGGCAACCCGGCAGTATCCCAGCCCTTGTGCTTCCTTCGGGTGGCATGGCAGCTAGGCACCGAAAGGGTGCTACAGCTGAACGGCTTTTTTTATACTAGAACGCTGTTTCTCTGAGCCCCTTTTGCTCAGGCGTGTGTCCAATGGAGACGACCCGGCGGTAATGAGCAGTAAAAAAATAATTTAATCGTTCAGCTTAAACAGCCTTTTGGTGACTGGCTACCATGCCACACGAAGGAAGCATGAGGGCTAGGATACTGCCAGAATGCCCGATCCTAGACGGGATGTTTTGGTCGTTCGTCATGAGCAGTGGAAGTCTCTGTCAATCAAATCGGTGGAATCCATAACTGCCGCCTCCGGAATAAGACAAGCAAACAACCAGTGACCTTGACATTTGGATCTTCCTTGCAACCGATGACGGTCATATACGAAAGGTATTGCACTCACTGCGTGGTTCCTTCACTCCGTCCCGTATCGGACAACCGGCGTAATTCATCGCCTCTAATTCATGACTGTCATTCCGTCATTTTGCTTATTTTCGGTGATCAGTTTTACAGCTGCTGGAACCACTGTTCCCTTTGCGGCTCTCTAACCAGATACTTCTTTGCCTTCGGTGTGGGCAATCAGGAAGTATCACGCCCACGGACATCTGATACGTGTAAGTTTTTTCAACTCGCAGCAACAAACTTTATTGCTCGTAATCAACCTGAACTTTCAGCACCACTGGGGAATCATCATCATCATCATCAATGACAGCAACATCAGTGTTGGCACTGATGCTTCACTGCCGTACACCACTGGGGAAAATTTGCTGCCTACCATTTCGGCTGTCTGCAACCACTGAAAAGACGCGGTTGCCTCTGGAGATGCATGTTACTGGAGTTTGTTGTGTCAGCTGTATGGTATCAGATCAAGGCTAATCTCTGGTTGCCACCGATCTTCGACTGAAGGTGCTGCTGACCATGTCCGTGGTCCACGAGATCTCCGCAGCTATCTGGACGTTTGAGGAACGACAAAGAATGCTGTTGGATATTACGAGCGAGAAGAATGGGGCGTCATTTCTGCCGGTTTCAGCTGTTCATGTGTCGGAGCACGGCTCGCTGGATGACGCATCTCACAGTTCGATTTTATTGGTGCACACTTTATCAGTATTGCACATGCCCGGGAAACTGCTCTTTGGACTGTCACACAAATCTGTCTAAAACTCGTGAGGTACATGGGAGCATTTTCTTATAAGACAACTAACTAAGATGGTTCACTCACAGAGTTGTCCAGCGCTGAAACAGACGCTGACTCCTACTTGTGGACCCGTTTGGTGAAATATGGACGCAAGGAAGTCTACCTTCCTGCGTTCCCGATACACGGGAGAGTCTCGGACAGGTTGTTGAAACAATAGCGGGACGCGCTTCATGTCTTCAGCGTCGAATGCATTCTTTACCATCGTCCTCCGACTTCAGCGCGGGCGGGTTTTCGCCAGGGACGAGATTAACACCTTCGGAGATTGTGATAATCGCTGATAGCAATCTACCGCCTAACTACCATAAAGCCATGGTTAAAGAAACCCATCCTGACCCATAGCTGCCACCATGACGTGGTGGTCAAGCTTGAGTGCTGCAATGATTCTGCAGGCTACATTGGCTGGAACGTCGTTCCGTAAGGTCCAGAAAGGCCAATGGGGAGCAGTCCAACTAAAAACAGCGAGACCTCGAGTAATCGTGCCACGAGGCGGTTTGGGGCAAAAGTTGTGCAGTCCTCTGCGAGTGTGAAGGTAGTAAGGTGTTTCCCCAAGCGGTCAGTATGTCAGTTTTCAGGGGGGCGAGATGGCTCAGTGGTTAGAACGCGAATTTATTGACCAGAAGATCCGTGGTTTGAACCCGACCTCTGCATCTTGACTTCCCCTGTCTAGACTTGGGTAACCTGGTAGTACCCTAGGCTTTGTGCTTCCTTCGCATGGCATGGCAGCTAGGCACCCAAAGAGTTACAGCTGAACCGTTATATTTTATCTTATTCATGCTAATATTCATGGAAGCAGCGCTACCGCCTTCCTTGTGAGAGGCACATGTTAGAAAAGGTTGGCCCGAAAAACGCGCACTCCGATCGCTCAACGGTTGACCGTGACCGCCGGGGCATTAGTCGATACGGCCTACTGGGCGCTCTCAATGGCGCTCGTGCATCCAAGCTATTGCCTTCAATGCATAGCTCCCTTCCCAATCCCCCCATTGACAGTGCTGGATTTATACACCAATTTATCATCTCCCACCTGTAATGAGCAGCTACCTACCCCCCCCCCAATCATCGGTGAACGAAACTGCGGCAACTGCCACCACTACGACGAGTACGCGGTTATTGCAGCTGACAATGACGATGATGGATGCTGCCTCGTGGGTCAGACTTTTGAGTCACAAAGAGACTGGACGTAATCATAGTGTGTCGGTTTGTGTTCTTCCGTAACCACTTGAGCTATACTGGGTCGTGTCTTTGCAACACTCACAGTTTATAGGTGACATTATTGCCCAAATAGGCAGATTAAGCACTGCTGATTGGGTGGCCATCTTGAACTGGACACGAGGCCCACGGACAATAGAAATTACTTACTTCAGATGTGTGCCGACCACGGACTGTTCATTTGCAGTGCCAATTTCCGGAGCACTAGCAGTCGCTTGATAACATGATGCCCCGAATCCAAATGAACCACATCGTCGTCAGTTATCGGCGGCGAGAGTCGGTCACTGCCTGCCTCTCCTGAACTACCAGCGTGGACTCCGACCATGCACTTGCACGCTGGTGCTTTTGGTTGCGCTTCTCTAGTTTTACGCAAAACGCGCACACCTCGCTTGGCCATCGTGAAACTTGTGGACCCAGAAATCAAACGAAAATATCAACCGGCTCCTCAAACGCCTGTCGGACGGTCCGATGTCGAATATGAACGACCACTGGGGAAGAATACCCAAAGCGCTACTCAGAGCCGGGAATTTTGTTTGTGGTACAACCAAGCCAATCGCATCCAGGTATTTGATCATTTGATTTGTGATTTGGACATTCACAAACGGGTTGAAGTGCACTAATCGATATAGGCGGAAGAAAAGTGTGGGTTTCCAGTTTGGGCGTATTCGTCTATAAAGGTACGCCACTGACCGCAGCACGTTGTCCTATCTAAGTGCATCTTCAATTATTTCTTGCAAGTTAAGACACCACGTCTGTGGTTGGATCCTACCAGCTTTTCTTTCTTCCCACACGTATGTAGCAGAGCTATAGTCAATTTGTTGCACAGACCTCTTTCGTCGGACACTACAGTGTTGAACCAGGCACATGATTTACTGACCAAAACGAAGGGTTGCGAACATTTTTTATGCGGCGGGGCAGGTCACCCAAAACTCTATGGAAACAGGCAGGTTAGTTCCAAAAGGGAGAGTACACCTGAGGTACAGCTGCCCTTAAATTCTGACAAAATGTCAGTAACGTGTCAGGGAACAAGACCGATTAATCGACCTCCATATTTTTGCTGTTTTCTACGGGTCTGCGGACTCGCCAACGCTTCATGAGAATAACCAACCAGCAGCAGCCAGGCGGTCTGATTTATAACATCGTTCGGATGGATGGTCCTTATTCCTGTAGGCTAACTTCGTATGATCATATTTGGTGAGCGTTGGCGAAATGACTGACCTTTGTCCACCCCTATTGTATGTGACAAGCAGGGAATGAGTGGAGTGTGAGTCGCGGAGTTCTTTGCAACCTTGTGTCTAGTGTCAAGAAAAGCATAGGCCTTTTGACACGATTTTCAACGGGCTCCGGTTTTGCGCTCGCTTCTCGTGGCTAGCAAATTCATACACGTTAGCAGCGTGTTCGAGTACGAATAATAAACAGTAATGGTGTTCGACTGTATCAGTTGTTCAGTGTTCGATAATTTGAAACATAAGGTTCGCAAACGGATGCACTCATTCATTAGAATCAGACGTTCTCTTGGATTGGATTGTGATCGAGTGACTCATTTGGTTTGTCTATATGCGAGTCGCCCATTTTTTTTACAATACAAAGTGTCATTATAGTTGTTCAGTGACGCGAAAAATCGTTAACCGAAGGTACCTTTCGCCCATACACTGACTTGTAATTCTGTGTTCCTCCCTAAAGGTTCATGCTATCCCGCTTCGAAGCAGCTGGGTGATGACATGTGCCTACGCGCCTTCGGGTGACTACGTTGCCTGCGGTGGCTTGGATAACGTATGCTCGATCTATAGTCTGCGGTCACGAGAGGGAAACGTCCGGGTTAGCCGGGAACTTCCGGGACATACAGGTTATCTGTCGTGCTGTCGTTTCTTGAACGATGCGCAAATCGTCACAAGTTCCGGTGACGTCACCTGGTAAGTGTTGCTCGTTTGAAGCATGCTTACACATCTCTTCAGGCCCCCTTCTCTGTATATTTGAGCTCTAGATAGCTCAGTGGTTAAGGCGTGAACTTACTGACCGAAAGGTTCGTGGTTCGAACCCAACCGCGACACAGCTGCTTTCGTTTTAGGCTTGAGCAACCCGGCAATATCTTAGCCATCGTGCATCCATGGCATGGCAGCTAGGCACAGGAAGTGTTATTTTTTATTCATTGTTGTATTTGCTACGGCACTCCTTGAGAATTAGTTAAATTTCAGGACGCTGAGCTTTTGCCACACGCGAACTACAACCATTATTCCCCACTCCTAATATGGTCGGATCGCAGCGTGACTGTCAAATCCTCTATTATCTTTGGTTGTTAACCTGAGGCCAACCAGGTTACACCCATGAAAACAAGTTCGCATGAAGGCTGTTCGGCCAGAGTGTTGGCGATATTTTCCTGCAAACACGCCCTACCCGACCCCACCTAACGTGCCAACGACGTGACGGTTTCTATGCCTCCTAAGACCAAAGTGAAAAGAATGCTAACAGTTTTTCGCATATTCAGATTTTTCGATTTTTAAATCGGTTAGGCGAACTGTGTACTGGATTTTTTTCACTTAGAACTTGGATTTAGTGGTGTGTTACACTGCGGCTATTCATATCTTTCTTGTGCTTTACAGTCATCTGCTAAGGATAGATGAGTAGTCGCTTTTGGGGATATTTCGAGTCGCCGCAAAGCGAGATCCGTAGCAAGGTCCAAGCACGGCGTCATCGAATTTCTGTTAGATTTCTTGGTTCATAGTCCAAACGGCGGCTTAGTATTTCGGTGTCAACCCCAATTGTTGGAAGCAAGGTTTTTCCCCCCAGCACGACAGCAGTAATCTGAGTTTAACGGTGTCAGGACGAGTTCAGATCTGCTTTCCAGAATCAGCACTGCTGGAGGAATCTGGAAATATGATAAATTTCTCTTACTAGGCTTGTTGTTTCCACGTACCTCCGTTATGTTGACGAAGCCAGGCTTCACAGGTGTGTCTCTGCTGTTTGGGTGATCGCATTGTACACACAGGCCTTCGTTCGAAGTCTGTTCTCTGAGCATCTCCGTAGAGCAGTGTGAAAGTTTCTCTGGGATTGCCGGTGCGAACACCGTGCTTCGCCATTTGAGAGGATGGTGGAGCCCACATATTATTTGCCTACGGATTATCCGTAGACACCAAACATGTCCATACTTTTGGTAGATGATTTCGGCTTTCCATCTTTTTCTTCATTCCAACCATTAAAAGGTAATGATCGGGGTAATCGAGGATAAGCCGCTTGTCTTCTTGATCTTCACTCGGTTCAGTATCATCAGGGTGGTGAAAGTCCGTAAGACGTTGGTATCCCCGGAAAATAGCTGTAGCGTTGTGACATTTCGAGGTCACTGCGAACATTAGAAGCGTGGGCAAAACTGAGTGGTCTTGTCGAGGACCGGCGTACAAGGAACTTGTGAAGCCTTCATACGCTCGCGAATACAACTTGTTGCTTGCGTTCTAGCGCGAGCACGTAAGTACCGATAGTGACGTATTTAGAATTCTCTGTTCGTTTTCATGTTTTAATCAGCTATTCCCGTTGCGGCATTTCAGTTTGGTGCCTCACTTGTCTTTGCCCTGTTAGAGCATATTCCTGTTTGCATAACGCTCAGATTAGACGCGAACGAATTCCGCATGAGTCACAGATGGTTTTTGGTGTTCCATAAAAACACCGCATGTTAGTGTCCCCCTATTTCTTCGCTCGTCAACCCATGCTTCATCCTTGTTTGACCCTTATCCATTCACAATCGTTGCCTACTCATTTCCGCTGTATGAACTGATCCCCTGGTTGAAGACGCTCCAGGATATGGCTGCCAACCGATGTCAGCTTCTATCCAGATTGCCTGAATAGATGTCTGGAGGTGTAGGCACCTGTCTACCTTTATTCTTTTCTTCACAGTAAGACTTTCAAATAAATCATGCTTGTACGGCAGCGAAGCTTCAGTGTTGAACATTGTCGAGAGTGATGATGAGCCAATTAGTTTTTAAGCGTGATTTGGTTAGATGATCATTGTAGTGAAAATATACTTTGCGGAACTGGGCTGATTACTTTCAACTGAACCAACGGCGCCTTGCAAGCGAGTTGAGTAAAAGGTCGATATCTTTCATAACCGGCTTTGTCTAAACGTATGTTCCCATTACCTGAAGTGTTTGGTCGGTCTGGAGTACATTGTGCGTTAGTCGCGAAATTCTCACCAACGGAAAATGAGTTGCAATTGTGTTTCTATTCATTTCCCACCTTAGTGCCCTTTGGGACATCGATACTGGACAACAGATTATCACATTCACCGGCCATACTGGAGACGTAATGAGCCTGAGTTTGGCACCAGACCAACGTACTTTCATTTCGGGCGCTTGTGATGCCTCTGCCAAGGTAAGTTTGGGTGTGGTGTGTTGTGTAAGACGGGATCAATTAGTTCATGTTCTGCTTGATTTTTCAATCGGCTCCAGTAAAAGAGTATGACAGAAATCTTGGAGTGTCTCTAGCCTAGCGCAGGAGAGGTCACGGAACCCATCCTGCTAGGCGGACGAAACTCTTCATAATCTCTTTCACGCCCTTCTGCCAAGTCATACGATGTCGACCTCACGGTTTGCACTATGCTGAAGGAGCTACGGAGAACAACACTCGTCCTGGCAAACGGTGTTGCAGCGTTCATAGCACATGGCTGAGACACTGCAGTTGATGGTGCGAGCATATCTTTCGCGACTGAAGTAACCACCGGGGAAGCAAATACGCCTTATCTGATTACCTCGTTACCCCAGTGTGTTAACACAGACTGCAAGTTCTGAAGTATGACTGCATTTTGAAAGTGCAAGGTGCTTGCCGGAAGTTAGTATGGTAGCGGCCACTGTATTCAACAGGGCTTGTGCTTTGTCTCCAAAGATGATATCGTCTGCATACTCTATATCGACGAAATCCCCACCAGAAACGATTTGAACATCGGGGTTTTCAAGACCATCCAGCGTTTACCTCATTTTTTCCATGAATGACGAAGTTGAGCAAGAACGTAGAGAGTGGACATCCTTGTCGGACACCACTTTTCGTAGACAGGTTCCTAGCATCATAATCATGGTTGTCAGCTGTAAGAACCGCGTACATGTCGTACAGTGGTTGTAGCTGCCGCAGTTTCGTTCACCGATGATTTGGGGGGGGGTTAGGTAGCTGCGCATTGCACGCGCGAGCTGGTAAATTGGTGCATAAATCCAGCACTGTCAGTGGG